TGGAACACAGTGGGTAACCTGGAAGATGTTTCTTAGAAATTTTGTTTGTATTCTTTCTAAGATAACCATGCTGTTATATGGTCCCAATTGAGCCCCATATAGTAGTTGTGCTCGGGCTTAATTGCAGCAGGGATAAACTGTGCTCCTCTGGAAAAATAGTAAGTTTGGATAGCTGATGGAGATCTCTGTGCACTACGAGATACATAGTCCAGGTGGGCATTTCTGCTTCCTGAAGCTTGAAAAACTATTCCTAGATATCTAAATATCTTAACCTGCTCAATGGACCACCCACCTAAGTTCCAGCTTCTCTGTTTTGGGTGTTTGGAAAAAGTAAGTATCTTAGTCTTGGTGTAATTTATTATTAGTTCCTCCTCAGTACAATAATGCATAAGTGATCTCAAAGCTCTTTTGAGGCCAATAGAAGTTAATGACAGAATTACTGCATCATCTGCATACAGTAATAAATTGACATGTCTTTGGGCTAATTTAGGAGGATGAAAACTAGAGCCATAAAGATGAAGAACCAATGAGTTTATATAGTAGTTGAATAAAACTGGGGCCAATACACATCCCTGACTGACTCCTCTCTTTGTGGGTATTTCCTTTGTGCCATGTCCTTGATTATTGCACCTGACCTTCAATCTTGTATTCTCATGTATTTTAATGAGCAGCAGGAGTAGATGTTTGTCAATTGTGGTATTTTAAAATTTATGCCGCAGTTTAGTTTTAGATACTATGTTGGAAGCTGACCTAAAGTTAATAAATGCTGTGTAAAGGGACTGTCCTGATTTGTGGGTATATTTTTCTACTAAATGTTGCAGCACCAAAGCATGGTCTAATGTTCTTCATCCTGCTCTAAATCCAGCCTGTTCATCCATCAGAATGTCTTTGGATTCAAGCCAATCAATTAGTTTCTCCTGTAGATGTTTAGCATACATTTTGCCAATCTGTTAACAAACTGATTGGGTGGTAGTTAGCTGGATCACCTCTCTTGCCCTTCTTATATATTGGTATTTTAATAGTCAACCCCAGTCCTTTGGTATCATGGCCAAATGTCAGGTTCAGCCCAAAGAACTCCAAGAGACAATGCAAATACAGTGGTTGCGTTTATTAGCTCCTCCCTCAAGACAGATTCTCACCAGACTGAACCCAAGTTCCCAAGCCAGCCAGCCACAATATCGTGAATTCCTTAGGGAGGTGCCAGCCTCATCTTCTTGACCTTCCCACGCTCCTGATGGGGGCTAAGAACACGCTTATCTCCCTGAGCATGGCCTTCATAAGTCCATTCCATCACACCAAACAATCTATTGCTGTGAAAAGTGAAGCTAGCACTGGGATCCACCATTCCAAATTATTTTTTATTACTTCATACATAAGAAAGTCTCAACCAGGGGCTTTCCCTGGTTTGAACTGTTTAATTATATTTCTGATCTCTGAGCATGAGACTGGGAGCCAATGGGGAAGAGAGGCCACATCCAACTCCAGATCTGCCAGGAAATTCTCCGCTTGATCATATAAGGTAATAAAATGGTGTTCCCATATATTGGCTGGTATATGCAGCGAAGAGCTATAAATATTGTTAGAAAAAGATGGGGCTATCAACCTCCAGAAGATGGCAGGGTTTGGAATGCCAGGATACCCCCATAGCATTCCTTTTTTTTTTTTTTGACAGATTAACTGTTTATACTGTTTTTTCAACATCACTAACTCAGAAATTGAACAAGAACCAGGATTTACTTTATATAATTTAAAATGGCGATTTAGAGAATTCCAAGCTTCATGGCATTCGTGGGTGAACCAAGCATAACGTGTTCTTGGATCATGCTTAATTGTAACAGACTGGGGAGCTGTTAACAGTGATTGAAATAACCAGATCCTGGAAAGAAATCTTCAGATTGTAATAATTAACCAAGTGCTCCTCACTCTTACACATTTCTACTATTTCAAAATAAAGGAGTATAATAAACTTTAACACACTGTTGATATAATCAGGTAATTTATCATTTAAAAGTATATGATTAAAAGCTGACTTTTAGTAAACTGAGGTAAAGGATCTGTTCTTATTTTATATAAAGTTCTAAGAGACTATGTGAGTAGTCTATTAACATTCAGTTATTTTTTAATAGTAAAATGTCTTTTGAGGGATGAAACTTAAAATATGGTCACAATGAATGACATATTTGTAAAAATTGTACATAAATATACCTTGGACTACCATAAAAT